TTGATGATAGAACTCGTTTGATACAAAATTAGATAAGATTAGGAAATCTTGAAGCAAGTTATGGCTTAGCGCCGTTGTGTGTGGCGTGTCCCACATCAACCTACCGCGGTCCCAACCTACCCCAGAGGCTATAACTTTGTTTAGAATTGTCGAATCCGGGAAACCTGGTATAGTTCGATTCAGCTCATCGAGGTGCATCGAACCATATCAGGCTTTCCGGATTCGAAAATTCTGAACGAAATTATAGCCTCGGCGGTAGGTTGGGATGCTACTAAAAATTAATAATTGGAGTAACCTTCAATGAAAAATAAATATTAAAAAATTTTTTTGCTTCTATTCAGATACAATTCTCTACATAGAAAAGTGGTTTAATAGACTATGACCAAATGCGCAAAAAATATAATAATTAGGTGTGAAAAAAGAATAATAATTATAAAGAAATAAAAAATGATTGATCTCTTAAATAATTATTGTTTTATTAATTAATATGTATACCAGCCAGATTCCAACTATCATAAGTTGGAACCAGGGTTGTTCAAAATAAAAAAATTCTTTATTTCTCAAACCAAAATCCGACAAAATTTCCGGAAAATTGGGAAATTTTTACAAAAATTCCCGTCATTAGGGGTGTATTTTTATTTCGTTTCGTCCTAAAATCTATTTTATTTCGCTTCGAAACGAAATGGAAAGAATAGCACGAAAGAGCGAAACTAAACGAAATTTTAAACAGCCCTGGCTAGAAACTTTTTAGAATTTTATCAGAAAATTTAAGTAAAATTGAGAGTACGCTGCTCAAAATCTCAGTTTTTACACAACCCTGGATTTGCAATGTTTCAAGGATTTAAGCCTGATATAAGTCTGAAAGTCTACACCAGGTTGTCTTATAAATAAGACACAGAATAGGATTCTGATTTTTTGAAACTTGAATTTTTAAAACCTCAAATATGTAGTATAGAGACTTAATAAAGTATAGAATAAAAATTGAAAGTTTGATCTTAAGAAAACCGGAAATTAATTTACAAAAATGACTAAAATAAATTAAAAAATGAACAGAAAATATTTTTAAATAAATATTTTGAATGACTAAATACTTGAATGATCGAATTAATTTTTTGACAGAAAAAAAGGTTAAAAATTTTTTTGTAAAAATAGAGGGGAAGGGGTGCGCGATCCAACCTTTTAAAATAACCCGAAAGACTTTGGGGTGTAATAATAATAATACTAATATTATAAAAAATAAAAATCAGAATTTTAAAAATCAGAATTCTGAAAATCAGAATAATTAAAAATCAGAATTTTAAAAATCAGAATATTTAAAATCAAAATTTTAAAAATCAGAATTTTAAAAATCAGAATTTTTAAAATCAGAATTATTATAAATCAGTATTGTAAAAATCGGAATTATAAAAAATCAGAATTTTTTAAAAATCGGAATTTTAAAAATCAGAATTTAAAAAAAGCAGAATAATGAAAATCAGAATTTTTTAAAAATCAGAAATATGAAAAATCAAAACAATTAAAAACCAGAATTTTAAAAAATTCAGAATTTGGTAAAAATCAGAATACCTAATTAGAAATCAGAATATAAAAATCAGAATTATGAAAATCATAATATTTAATATCAGAATATTTTTTAAAAATCAAAATATCAATCCGAATTATTAAAATAAGAAAGAGAGTGAAGGGAAAGGGTGCGCGATTCAACCACTATATTAATTTAAAACCTTTTAAAATAACCAAAAAGACTTTTGAGTGTAAAAATAATACTAATAATTTTATTTATTAAATAAAAATAAAAATTTGTGCAAAGAATTTTTTTCTAAATTTTTTTTATATTTTTTTTTGCAGTAAGATGTACGAAAAGTGTTGCAACGTGCACGCGAACATAAATTATAAAAATAAATTGTGGGGTGGAAATTAAAGTAATATTTATAGGTGGGAATATTATTAATAAAAAATACAAAAAAATACAATAAAACACAAATCAGAATTTCTGAAAAAAGAAAATACAAAAATCAGAATATTTGAAATTAAATAAACTTAAAAAGAAAAACACATCAGAAAAATACATTTTAGAATTGTAAAAAGAAAAAATACAAAAAATACAAAAAAATACAATTTCAGAATTAATGAAAAAAACAAAATACAAAAATCAGAATTTTTGGGATAAAATAAATTAAATATGAAAAATACAAAAAAATACAATTCAGAATTTATAAAAAGGAAAATACAAAAAATCAGAATTTCTGGAAAAAGTAATCTATAAAGGCAAACACAACAGAAAAATACAAATCAGAATTTCTGAAAAAAGAAAATACAAAAATCAGAATATTTGAAATTAAATAAACTTAAAAAGAAAAACACATCAGAAAAATACATTTTAGAATTGTAAAAAGAAAAAATACAAAAAATACAAAAAAATACAATTTCAGAATTAATGAAAAAAACAAAATACAAAAATCAGAATTTTTGGGATAAAATAAATTAAATATGAAAAATACAAAAAAATACAATTCAGAATTTATAAAAAGGAAAATACAAAAAATCAGAATTTCTGGAAAAAGTAATTTATAAAGGCAAACACAACAGAAAAACAAAAATCAGAATTTATAAAAAAGAAAATACAAAAATCAGAATATAAGAAAATAATAAGGGAACTCGTCAACGACAAGTCAATTTCTAAAATCTGTAACTAGATAATTAAAAAATATCTAAAAGATATTTTGATATCATTCGATAGAGAAAAGAATGGGCTACAAAATGAGGTAAAAAGAAATATTTTATGATAATCAGTAAAAAAGTTATAATCAAAAAACCTTAAGAAACCCGAACATTTAAGCTAAGATTAAGTTCATTTTTCGATCAGAATTCTTTTGTTAATCGCCATAAAAATTAGAAAACTTGCCTAATAATAGCAAATTTTCTCCTCTATAAAATGATATCAAAAAATAACCTAAATAGAATTTCAAAAATTTGTAGTAAAATAAAGAAAGGGGTCTACTAATAATAATGACTTTAAATAGAAATAATAATAAAATTAATTTAAAAAATAATAAAAAAATTTAATTTAATTGTTAAATTCAGTTCCGCATTATTTTTAATTTTTAATAAACTACAAATAAATTTTAAAAATAAAATTCAATTAAAATTTGAGTTGGATACATAAATTAATTAAAAATGCCATTATTAGATTTTTTAAATTTTATTTCCTCAAAAATATTTTTTTCAATTTTCATTTTTAACATTTTAAAAAATGCGTGGGAATAGGAGGAGATAGATTATGGCAAAAATATTAAGAGAATAAATTTATTACGACATTTCTTTTTTTATTTTTAAGTATTCAACGGAAATGGCACGCATGGGCTTCCTTTAACGATAGGGCGCAGTTTAAATAAAAGAGGTATACCTAATAAAAGGACCTAAAATTCTGAAAATTTGCATTTACGTCCCTGATACTGTTTTCTACCTAGATCTAAAATTTCAGAATTTTTGGTTGTGGCAAAACAAAGTTATGGCCAAAAAATGACGAAAAGTTAGAAAAGTCTATTTTTACCGCGTTTTTTTGGCCATAACTTTTTAAACCAGAAACAAAAAATTCTGAAATTTATAGGAGAGTTAGATAAGCTTATATAAGAGATATTCTGAAAATTTCAGATTTTTAGGTCAAGTTCAAGAGAAAATATTTAAAACCGCGCCACCCCACAAACGCTCCCACCAAGTAAATTTTAACTGGGGCTTCTTGGCCATAACTTCTGAAATCTGAAACCAGAAATTCTGAAATTATGGGAGGAATAGATAACCTTATTAAAGAGATATCAACAAAATTTCAGGATTTTAGGTCAAGTTCAAGAAAAGATATTTAAAACCGCGCCACCCCACAAACGCTTCCTCCAAGTAAATTTTAACTGTGGTTTTTTGGTGATAACTTCTGAAATCTGAATCCAAAAATTCTGAAATTTATAAGAAGGTTACATAACCTTATTAAAGAGATATCCACAAAATTTCAGGATTTTAGGTCCATTACAGAAGGAGATATTTAAAATCGCACCGACCCATAACCGCGCCCTCAAGTAAATTTTAACGGGAGTTTTTTGACCATAACTTCTGAAATCCGAAACCTGAAATTCTGAAAATTATAGGAGAACTAGCTAACATTATTGTCAGGATATCCAAAAAATTTCAGAATTTTAGGTCCATTACAGAAGGAGATATCTAAACCGCGCCAACCCACACCTGCGCCCAAGTCACCCAACTTTAATATTTAGTCAGATTAAATACTTAAAAAATAAATTCAAAGAAAGCCTAAAAACGAGAAGAACGGCTAGAAAGAAATGCCAACAGAAATAAAAGAAAAGGAAAAAATAGCTAGACGGATTTCCGGTTTTTTTATTCATCGGAAATTGACGTTTGTTTCTATAGCTGCTTTGTTGCCATTCTCTGGTAGAGTATATTTTATTTAATATTTAATTTTATATTTATGTACACACAAGAAGGGGGTTATTTATGCAAAATTAAAGGGAAGGAAAAGCTGCTTATGGGAAATGAGAGAAATTTTGAGAAAAAATATTTTTGTGGAATTATGGTGAGAATTTAAATGACAGATGAGTGGGTGGGTGTAGGAGTAGGAGAGGAAAGGGTAATTATTAAAAAAATTTCATAAAAAATAAAGAGGCATAGAAAATACTGTAAATGCTCTGATTTAAGCCTTGGGTTTATATTTTTCAATGAGCCATCTTAGTGGGCATAGATTGGAGACTGGGCTTATATTTTTCGATAGCCCTCCTTGGGTGGGCTTATATTAGAGATGGGCTTTTATTAGAGCCGGCAAACATTTATGGTAATGTAATACATGCTTAAAGGAGTATGCTGGTTTGAGAAAAAGTGGGTGATGTTTTCAAAAATTTCTCGGGTAGGGTTTCAGGTACTCCGACTCGTCCCTTATCCATAAAAGAGATTGAAATTGCTGGGTTTGATCAAAAAATCAAACCTGTTACTGGGTTTTATTTATTGACCTGAGCCGGATCCTGGGCCTGTAGTCCAGGAAAACCACAGGCCCAGAAACCCCCCAGAAAGGCTTAAAATTCTGGGTATAGGGTATAGGCCTGGATTCTGGGTATAGGAAAAAACCAGGCATTGGTCCAGACCCAGCCCGATCTCTAATACATCTAATACTTAATGATGGAATTTTGAAAAAAAAATTATTTTTTATTTTTTTTTTGCGTGGATAAGAGAAAAAGAATCATTCAAAAAGTGCACTCAAACAAAAAAAAAAAATAAAATTGGGAACATGTGAAAAATATATAATTTTTAATATAAAAAGATATAATGGCCGGAAAGAGCTCCTAAAATATTTAAAAAAGTGAGAAGGGAAATTGAGCCTAATTTAGCTGTTTGACATTTAAAATAAAAATGAAAGGAAAAAATTTAAAAATCAGAAAAATAAAAAAATTTTTCACCTGTTGTCGTCCTTCAATTTGAACAAAAACTCCAATTGTTGTGGATTTTGGCCGGAGACGACGTTGTATGGCTGAGTTCAGCTTTTCAAACCAGTCTGATTTTTCGCGCTCCGTACTGAAATTAATTGATTTTTGACATTATGAAATTTTCGACATTTTGAAATTTTGTCATTTCGAAATATGACATTTTGAAATTTTGTATTTTGAAATTTTTAAATTTTGACATTTTTGACATTATGAAAGTGACATTTCGAAATGTCATTTCGACATAATGAAATTTTTAAATTTTGACATTTTTGACACTTTGAAAGTGACATTTCGAAATCTTGACATTTTTGAATTTCGAGCCTTTGAAATATTGACATTATAAAATTCGTGACATTTTTTAATTTTAAATTTATATTTAAATATCACACCTGAAATGAGCTATATAGTTGCGCGTTGTTGGCCAACCAAGAAGAAAAGAATTAGTACAATTATTAGAAGAAAGCCACAGAAATTCAAGTGAAACTTTTTCTTTAAGCTTATAACAGCTGTTATGCTCTCCTCTAAAATTTTTTAATTTTTTTTAATTTTTAAAAAATTTTGAAATTTTAATATTTTTAAATATTTTTTAAACATATGTGATAAAACAGAAAAAAATATAAAAAAATAAAAATAAATACGGAGAAAATATGGGGTGGATGTGAAAATGTTTGGGCTAGGGGACTCTTGCGCGCGCGTCCGTAACTTGGCTTATAACAAAGGTACGGACCTGAAAATTTTTTCTGATATCCACAACAATCTTACCTAGATACCCTAAAAATTTTAGATTTTTTGGAAAATTAGCTTAGAAAATATGGACGAAAAGAAGACGAAAATCATCATTTTTCAGTGATTTTTTTTAAATTCTCGGCTATAATTTTTTAAATATTAAACCAAAAATTCTGAAATTTGGAGAGGTGATAGATACATCTATCTGGTATAGGCAGAAAAAATTTAAAAGTCTAATCTTCTTTTGTTAAGGTTATAATGCTGCGCGCAGACGTACTCGACTTGTTTAGGGATTTTTTTTAATTTTCGGCCACAACTTTCCTCTTACTCAACCAAAAATTTTGAAATTTGGGGAGAAGTTAGATAACTCTAACACAGATAAACACACAAAATTTAAAGATCTTAGCTAAACTTAAGAAGAAGTTGTAAAGCTGCGCGCAGACGTCATCGCAAGCTAACGCCTATTCTCTGTGTAAATTTTGGCAGAAACCTTTTAATGAATACAATATTTTTTAATTAAATTAATAAAATTGAATAGAGCTGGGAATAAGCTACAAAATATAATCGAAATCTTTTTTGAAATTAAACACAAAAAAATAATTTTTTATTTTTTAAAACTCTATAAACGAGCTTTTCTAACTCGCCTATTTTTAGGCGAATTAGAAAAGCCTATTTTTCGCCTATTTTTGTTTGACTACAAAAAAAATTTTTTATCACAAACTAAAAAGATTTTTGATTTTTTATTTTATTTTATACAGCAATTTCCGCTAGAATTTAAAATTGTTAGAGATTATTAAAATTAATGTATAATATTTTTGAGCTATAAAAGGATGACACTTTATCCAAAAAATTCTTAAAAATTACCTAATCCAAAAAAAGGTTTCCTCTTTGTAATTAAAGCTCTATTTTAATATTTTTAGTTTGATATTTACGTAAAAAAAGGGATTAAAAAATATTAAGGGGAAATACGCAAAAATAGCTACCAAAATAATTATTCTAAATTGGGGTGATTTAAAGAGATTATTATTAAATTTATTATTAAATACGACATTTGCGCGCTCGAGTGTAACTTTGTTTATATCAAAGGTATGGACCTGAAATTTTTTTCTGATATCTTTAACAGTCTTATCTAGATTCTCTAAAAATTTTAGATTTTTTGAAAAATTAGCTTGGAAAATATGGACGAAAAGTATATTAAATTTATTATTAAATACGACATTTGAGAACACACGACATTTGCGCATTTTTATGATAACTTTTTTTGAAATTAATTTAAAAATATAATTTAAATCAAAAAGATCAAGCTTAAAAATAGGAACAGTTTAAAGCCAAAGAAAATCAAAATTGGTTAATATTTGAGGAAGTTATGGCCATAAATATGCCTACGGCCAAAATTCCTCAGTTAAATTTATTATTAAGTACGACATTTGCGAACAACGACATTTGCGGATTTTGAGGATAACTTTTTTTGAAATTAATTTAAAAATATAATTTCAAAACAGAAAAATCAAGCCTAAAAATTTGAACATTTTAAAGCAAAGAAAAACAAAATCGGCCAAATTTTTATAGAGTTATGGCTAATAATATGCTTACGGCCAAAATTCCTTAGTTTAAATTTATTATTAAATACGACATTTGAGAACACACAACATTTGCGCATTTTTGGGATAACTTTTTTTTGGACTGAACGTAAAAATATAATTTAAAAACAGAAAAATCAAGATTAAAAATAGGAACATTTTAAAGTAAAGTAATCGAAATTGGTCGATTTTTGAGAAAGTTATGGCCATACATATGTTTACGGCCAAAATTCCTTAGTTTTTAAGCCATAACTTAATTTTAATGCCAAAATTTTGCCCAAACTTTGTTTCATTTTAGAGGCAATTTTTAGCTTGTATTTATGGAATCTAACTCCTCTTGTCTATCATTTTATCACTGATCTTATGCCTAATTTAAATGAGAGTGTCCTCAAATGTCGGAGTACTCAACGTCGCGCCACGTATAATAAAGCATTTAAAATAATTTAAAAAATAAAATAGCAAAATTAAATGAATTTTAGCTTCAAAATTATTAGATAAAATTTTTATTATAAATGTGAATCATAAGAGAAAATATATGTGTTTCAATTTTATTATAAATTTAACCAGCTGTTTTAATTAAAAAAATAATTTAAATATTAATTAATTCATTTCCGGTTAAAAATGCAGAGATAATAAAAAAACGCTAGATCGCGACCAGAAATTTGGATATTGGACGTCTTTAATAAATTTATTTTTTGGCACTAAAAATGGGGAAAATCTGGCTAATTGGCCATCGGCAATTTAAAAAATTTCTCCTTTACCCTATTCTGGCGTTTCGCCTTTAGATTTTAAAAAATAATTTCGGTACTCTTCTATTACAGAAGTTCGAATAAATTGAAAAAAATTTTTTCAAAAGAAATAAAAAATATAATATATTAAGTAAAAATTTGAAAAAAATTTCTGAAGTAAAAAATACCAAAAACCCCTAAATTTGAAAAAAAAAATTTTTCATCAACAAAAAAATATATATTAAGTAAAAAAATATTTCTTAAAGTAAAAAAATACCAAAAAACTCCCTTTATATTCCCTAAATAATTTAAAATTGCCATATTAAAGCAAAAAAGGAAAAGACGTTTTTAGAAACTCCCAAATGGAACGAGAAAAAATAGTAAAAAGATAAAAATAGTTAAAGCACTATTTGGGGCAATTATGAGGAAATTGTCTTATTTTAGAATTAATTTTATCTATTTATGGTTAAATGGGCAAAAATGACTAAAAAAATAAAAATGGTAAATAAAAACACATGAGGGGGTGGGTGAAAATAAATAAGGGTAGAAAAATACATAAGAAAGGGTAAAAAATAATTTTAAAATACAATTGTATTTTAGTATAGTAGAGAAAATTCTGATTTGATGAAAAATACAAATTATTTACCGGAAAATAAATTCTGATTCAAGAAAAAATACATGCAAATTCTGATTTATTTAATTTTAGATATTACAGAAAACACATGAAATTCTGATTCCGGAAAATAAATTCTGATTTGAAGGAAAATACAAATCATATAAAATACATGCAAATTCCGATTTATTTCATTATTAAATATTCCGGAAAACACATGAAATACAAATTCTGATTCGAAAAATAATTCTGATTTAAAGGAAAAATACAAATTCTGATTCCGGAAAATAAATTCCGATTTGAAGAAAAAATACAAATTCTGATTCCGGAAAATAAATTCTGATTTGAAGGAAAAATACAAATTCTGATTCCGGAAAATAAATTCTGATTTGAAGGAAAAATACAAATTCTGATTCCGGAAAATAAATTCCGATTTGAAGAAAAAATACAAATTCTGATTTATTTTAAATTTGTACTTTATTTCATGAAAAAAAAAATAAATTTTCCGGAAAGGTCTATTTAAATATTCCGGAAAACACATTCAGAAATAAATTGTTCCGGAAAACACATTCTAATTTTAAAAAAATACAAATTCTAATTTATTAATTATTAAAAATTCCGGAAAACACATGAAATACAAATTGTGATTCCGGAAAACACATTCTGATTTGAAGGAAAAATACAAATTCTGATTTTTTTTTAACATGTATTTTATTTCAGAAAATAAATATGCTTTCCGGAAAGGAATTTAATTTAAAGAAAACACATTATTCTGACTATGTGTTTATTTATAGTAAATATAACACACAAATATTCTTATGCTTTTAAATAATTTATAAAATTTATTTAAAGCATTCCAGTACAAACAAATAACAAATAAAAATACTATTGCGTGGGTTTCTATATTTATTTATTTAAAGCAATAAAAATTTATTTTTGTTTATTTTTGGTAAAAAGTCCGTGTATTTCTTAGCCGTTATAAATTATTAATAGAATTATAAACCAAATAATTGGTCCAGTTAAACAATTAATTGGCTACCCAACCTAAAATTTAATTTATTCCCCCCTGAAATTTAAGAGAAAAATTTTTCTTTCGAAAAAAAAACATTTAAAAATTTTAACAAATAAAACTGATTATTAAGAGGTGAATGACGGGGTTTTTTTCTTAGAAGCTAAAAGACGCTAAAAGACGTAAGTATTACACATTGAATGTTTTGGATGATTCATTTTTGGTGTTTATTTTATTTTTTTAGTTTTTGACAAAATTAAATATCAAAGGAAAAATACAAAAGTTGATAATAAATAATAAAATATGTATTAAATGTACTTGAAGGAATAGTTATTTTACGGAAAAGAATTTTATTAATGAAAAATACAAAATTCTGATTTATAAATTAAATACCGGAAAATACAATCATTCCGGAAGAAATAATATTTTTCCGGAAAAAATACATTAAAAAATACAAAATTCTGATTTTTAGATTATATTCCGAAAAATACAAAATTCTGACCCACATAAAATTAATATCACGGAAGAATAATATTTTTCCGGAAAAAAAATCATATAAGAAAATACAAATTCTTATGTGTATATTATAATTAGGAAAAATACAGATTCTGATTTTAATTTAAATTCCGGAAAACACAAAATTAGATTTTTTATTTAATTTTTTCCGGAAAAGTGTATTAATATAAAAGAAAATACAAATTCTGATTTTGTTTTAAATTCCGGAAAAACACAAATTCTGATTTTTAACTTATGTATATTCCGGAAAACACAAATTTCAGATTCTTTATTTAATTTTTTCCGGAAAGTGTAATATTAATAAAAGAAAATACAAATTCTGATTTTTAAAATTAATCCTAATTACTAA